ATGAACGAAACAATTGTAGTAAAAGGAATATTCAGGTTGTTAGAAATCGTTCTGTAACTGTTCCCATCTTTCCAAAGAGACAAAATGTGTTGTTTTTGTGAAATAGTCAATTCTTTACCTTTAGGCATTATTAGAAATTTCTCGAAAGACTAGAAATTACAGAATGCTCTGATAATGGCTAATAGCGTTAACTATAATTACTGATAACATTACTTGAACATTCTAGAATATACTTTTTTCATAATTAATTGATTATTTTATTCTAATAATTGATTTGTACGAATACCTTTTTCATCCGTTAGAATTAAAAGATGTATTAATTTCTGTTTCATGTTAGATGCAATCGTCAGGCCTGACGATTGCATCTAGCATGAAACAGACTGTCGCCTCTAAGTGTTGACTTCTATGTTCACTTTTATATTTACACACGCTCTATCTCTGATATTGAGCACTTTATCACATAAATATAGAACATCTTAAGACTGTATTTCGTCATATATATATATATATATATATATATATATATATATATAAGCACACACATTATACAGGTTGAGGCATATGTTGAGCACCCCAGGGGGTAATTTATTAAAAGTATAATTACATATAAAAATTTAATTTCTTCGTTATTTAATTTTTATATGCGCTGTTCAAAATGTCCTACTTTTTCAGAAGCCATTTCAATTCTGTGTCTGTGTTATTCATAAACACATCAAAGAGTTTCCTCTGTTATTTTACTGCATTCAGATTTAATTCTTTCTTTAAGTTCCTCAATATTTCTTCTACACGTCTAATAAACAATTGATTTCAAATGGTCTCAGAGAAAAAAAAAATTCAAGGGTGTACGGCCTGGTAACGTGGGTGGCCACTCAACAAGACCTCTTGGACCTAACCATTAACCCCTTATGGTGGGCGTTTTTTTGCCTCGCCTTTTTACACATGGCCTGAAGATTAACATTCAAGCCTGAAACAGGCTTTCGCTGCTCGGTGTTGAACACACAGTTCACTTTTATCTTCACATACGCTTTGATATTGAGCACTTTTATACATAAATATAGCATAACTTATAACTATATTCTTATCGTATTATATATATGTGTGTGTGTATGTAGGTATGTATGCTATATCTTCTTCAGTGTTCCTGAAAATCTTTATTTTTCTCTTTCAAATCTAAAAAAAAAAATTATAAATAAAAATTGTTTAAGTTATTCTTCCTGTTTTCTAATTTGTTAGTTTTTACTTTGTTTCTCTTGTCTTTGTTTCAAACCAAATTTGAAACAGTCATATTTCCAGGAAAGTTGTTATTCCTTCCTAGTCATCAAAAAGAAACTTGTTTTAGATAAAAATGAAAAATGTACCATCTTTATAGTATATTCGTTTGTTAACCTAAACGGGTCATACTGTAGTGACATAATTCTGTGGCAAGAAATATCATCGTTTGAATGGTTTTTGTTGCTCTTCCCATTGCGGAAAAACTAAAAAATGACTGAAGTGCAACCGTAAAAGCAGGTATTGTTGTCAATCTGCACGTATAGGTTCTTGTGTTTCAATTTTAGAACTACCTATATTTGATTTAGTGCATAAATCAATATGAACATGCTTAGGTATGGAAATAAATCCGTGCAAATATATTGACGTGCATACTGTGACAAAAGTCGGCATATTTCTATGGATACAACGTTTAAGCGAAAGAGTAACTTGTGGCGTGGGAAGAAAGGAAAAGACAGAGGGATCAGTTGTAAGTGCGTGTGTGTGTGTGTGTGTGTGTGAGAGAGAGAGAAGAAGAAGAAGAAGAAGAAGAAGAGTTCTTCGGTTGATTACTTGATGCTGCGGTTACGTGAATGTGGGCCTCTCAAGTCTGAATCAATATTTGGCAAGCATCTTTATACGCAGTGACTGTGTTGCACTTACTCAGAGACTACTGTGGAGAATTATTTCTTGTCATACGCACTTTCTGGGCAAGTGGGTTATTGTTGAATAAGAAGACTCAGCGTCGTGAATGTGTGTTCTTTTCGCTTGCGTTACTGACTGAATCTTCTCTCTCCAATTCAATTCGAGTCAATCTTATCAGTTATACGGGTACTCCCCACTAACCTGAATAGTTTATGGCAGCAGTTTTCATTCAGATCTTCATTTTTTCCTCTCATTCGATGCTCGGAGGAATTAATTTTTATAGAAAATGAATTTGTTCCGCATTTGAAAGAAACAGTGATTACTTTTTTTTACCTATGTCTCTCTTAGTTAATTTCTTGTAAAAAAGCTTAAAAGTTCATTCTCCCACCCTTATATATATATATATATATATATATATATATATATATGTGTGTGTGTGTGTGTGTGTGTGTGTGTGTGTGTGTGTGTGTGTGTGTGTGTGTGTGTGTGTGTGTGTGTATCACTGTCATAAACAGACAAAACTTAGTTTTATTATTACCACTCATGATAATAAAAAGTAAAAATGAAAAACGGGTTAGCTAACCGGTTTCGAACCTCGCTCATCAGAGCTAAATCGAGGTAAATAGAGTAAATTATATAAAAAGAACAATGGACAAAGTGTATTGGGGGGAAAGAAAAAAAAAGTGTTGGGGGTCATCTATATTCTATCATTAGATCTTCTCTATGTAAAACAGAAAGACTTTGTATTAGACCTCCAACTAATTAACATTTAAATATTTTTTCCCCAAGACAGCTAGCCCGTTTTTCATTCTTACTTTTTATCATGAGTGGTAATAATATATATATATATATATATATATATATATATATATATATATATATATATATATACACACGCAGTTTAATTAATCTGAATTAAAACAAATATTATTAACTTTTAGGTTAAATTATCGCAGAAAAAGTATTTTTAACACGAGCTGGCTGTTTTTATGAGCTGCTCATACAGTTATCGATAGTTTAACGTTTGGGTTTTTTAAATAAAGGCCACATAAGTGTAAAAATTATTTGACGAATACAACGTTAGAATACCGGGAGTCAATGAATTTTAGTGAACTTTTTCATTTATGATTAGTAAATATAGTTTTACTCAATAACACTATCGTCTAGCCACTACAAATTAATACAAAAATTTAAAAGATTTAAAACTTTATAAATTATTGTATCTGAAATTAAATTTTGTTTTTGTTTTTTATACATGATCAAAAATGCGCCAGTTTGGGGCATTTTTCATCATATATATTCATTTTTTAGCAAAACTTTCGAGATCCCTATATTAATATATATTTTAAAATATATATTTGAATATATATTTTAATATGTGTATAATAGGCTTAAAATGTTTGTGTGCGTGTATTTAAAATGTTCTATATTTACATAGCAAGAGTGCTCATTAATGTAGATAGGGTGTTTACGGATATAGCCAGTGTGAACATGGGAATCAACGCTGCATGGTGACACCTCGAAATAATCTTCAGACTATGTATGTATGTATACGCGCGCACACACACACATGGGTGCAGTAAACGACATCCTGTTACTGAAAAAGCATTTATTTTACTCGATGAATATAATCTCCTTCCATGTCAATTCATTGCTAAGTATTGACCCCATTGGTTGAACATTATATTATTTATAAATTTCGATCTTAGTCATCTGTGAAGAAACGATGATTTTTTTAAAATCACTTCCCCCAAGCAAAGCGATAACGCAACTAAGACGCAAGTATCTACTAGAAGTGAAGGAGAAAGAAAAGCCTTTAGAATGAACCGGACACCGAATCCTAAACACGAAAAAAGGGATAAACCCTTACTCCTGTTCAAATGACTGGGTTAAATGGATTGCAAAGGAATTACTGACATTAGCATAAGAATATACATTAGTGATTGATATAATACAGGGCCAAATGGAATTGAAAGATTATGTTGCGTTCATTTTTCAAGATCATCACTATTCGAAATCTTGGCTTCCTCTTCGGCTCGAACACTGACGTCTGACACTGCAGTGAAATAAGAAGCTATTTCATTCAAATGATATGTATTTTACATTTTCTTAAAACTTAGTTAAAGATCTGTGATGCATCATTGCTCAATCATCCATTGTCCAGGCAATAAAGATCTCTGATGCATCAATGTTCAGTCTTCCATTGTCTAGGAAATCAAGATCTCTGATCCATCATTGCTCAGTCCTCCATTTTCCAGGCAATAAAGATCTCTGATACGTCATTGCTAAATCCTCCATTTCAAGGCAATAAAGATCTCTGATGCATCATTGCTCAGTTTCTCCATTTTCCAAGCAATATAGATCTCTGATGCATCATTGCTCAGTCCTCCATTGAGATAAAGATGCATCTTGATCCTCCATTGCATCATTCATTGCTCAGTCCACCATTGCAATAAAGATCTCTGATGCATCATTGCTCAGTCCTCCATTGCGGTAAAGATCTCTGATGCATCATTGCTCAGTCCTCCATTGCGATAAAGATCTCTGATGCATCATTGCTCAGTCCTCCATTGCAATAAAGATCTCTGATGCATCATTGCTCAATTTTCCTGGCAAAAAAGACCTCTGATGCATCATTGCTCAGTCCTCCATTTTCCAAGCAATATAGATCTCTGACAGTTTCCTCTATTCCAATGCACTTTCGGATTTTATCTACTCTTCTTATAACAAATGAATTTGAGGTCAGAATAAATAGTAAACCGATTTTTCACTGATCGTTGTTGATCAGCTCCAAGTTGCTCAATAATTATTTGGGCTTTTTAATAATTTTCTCATGCATGTGAAACTATGTAATTAGCATTTTTTCCACTCGTGTATGTGCCAGTAGCCACACCCCGGTAAACTGCTTCTACTGGCGGGCAAACCAGGTGAGATTATTTGACGAGATCAAACCAACGATAATTTCGAATCTGTCAGCCCTAATTGCATATGAAGACTGATTCCAGGTGGAGTGGATGGATGAGGCCGCTACAGATGCAACGTCCATGGAGTGCAACAGTCGTGGCACGTGGAAATCCTGGTCATCTACTGCAGTCTGGAAGCTTCCGTCCCTCGTACCACCGGATAAAGACCCCCTCCCCGGGGCTGAGAGAGTGAGATTACCCCAGGGCAACGATTTTCCCGGTATAAATTCTTCCCGCGATGGTCGGTTATTATAAATTCGTCAGGATTCACTGATGAATTGCAAAACAAAGTCTTCTTCGGATTCGTGGCATCCATGACGACGACGGCGGCGGCGACGACGACGACGACGACGACGATGATCACAATGATGACGAAGATGGTGACAATGAGGATAATGATGATGATGTTGATGATGATGATGGCCGCCGGCCGTATGAGATGATTAACAAGTTAATTTTGAAGAAGAGTTCATTTGTGTAATGAGTTCGATTCTTACTGGTTTAGTATTTTTCAACGCAGGAAATACTCAGCGTAGGAAGCAAGTTTAGATTATCCTTTAGACTATTATAGGCTACTTTTATAAAGCAATGACTTTAATTTTCTACATGTTATAACTTCATAAACTGAAAATGATATCAATATGACAAACTCATTTTTTTTAATTATCTGTCTATATTTCAGAAATGAGGTATTATGTACATAAGTGAAATATCGGGTTCAGTTCGACATTCCAACCACCTGAAGGAGGCCGGAGCGTACAACGGCCGAAACGTTGTAATAAATATGGCAACAGAGATGAGGACGATAGTCTGAATAATGTAAATAATGTATTTTTTTTTATTGTTTTATTGTTATAATAAGGATTTTTAAAAAAACAGTTTGTTTTTTTTTTACTACGGCTGTGTTGCTAATTTGCTTTTGCAATAGTAAAAAAGCGGTATTTCTTAAAGAATATTTTCGTTGACAAATGGAAGTTAGCTGTTGTAGTTTATTAAAAGAATTTGCAATAAATTTACTCCAAGTTATATTACAAGCAAAAAAGCCTGGGGACACCCTGCATTTCTTTAAAAAAAAAAATACCTTAAAATTAGATACTTCTGTAATTTTTTTAAAAGTAAAAGATAAAATCTCATTGAACTGAACTGCGAGGGACTTTATAAAACTTTTTTTTAATCAAATCTTCCAGTATTTTTGATAAACTGAGGGGACGCCGACTGTGTTGAACGTTCTAAAGGGACACAATGAGTAAAACACACACACACACACACACACACACATATATATATATATATATATATATGGAGAGAGAGAGAGACCGAGAGAGAGGGACGTAGCGAGATATAAAGAGAGTTCAATACAGAGAAGGATTGGAAGTGGGGCTCGTCTTAGATAAAGGCAGTTACTTGTAGTGAAGGGTTAAATCCTGATACGTTACTTAACGATTAGTTGAGGATATTAAGAGACACTATGTCACTTTTCTTATAACTAACTACGGATGGCCATGGGCTGAAAAGTACAGAGCGCAGCATTAAAGAATTTATTAGTAAATGCGTGGAATTTACACGGATTCTACTAGTAATTATTATTATTGATTTTAAAATGGCCACTGAAAAGGTCTCAGCTCAGCCCGCTTTCTAAAATCTGATTAGTGTAAGTGCTTTTTGATCAAGAACTTTTAGCACCCACTTCGTACTAAAATTAAGCCAGTTTTCCAAACAGAATGTATGTTTGACTTTGTAAAAAAATGTTGGTCTTTTAAACTATTAATAGGTATGTATTACCGGCTACATGGTCAGGTTGTCGGCGACTGAACCGATTCCCTCATCAAGATTTTCTGGTGAGTAGGGTGACTGGGCACCAAGTAGCATTAAAAAATAAAGCCTGTTAAAGGGCGGATGACCCTACTTTGCAGGGTCAACTGCCATCAAGCACACAGCCGTCTGGGAGTGTTGAACCTCTTAGTTTTTGTTAAAACATTCAACCAGGAGAATGAGTCCTCTGATGTAACACCTGCAGCTTGACAGCATCAAGTGATGTTGACTGTTTCTTTTTTTTAAGTGACACAGTGCAACCTCCTTTTTCACGATAAATAAAATTGATACATAAGCATTTCTCGATATTGTAATATCTTACTTGGTGATACATCCAATGATGACTAATAATGGTTTTTGATACAAATGGCAATACTCTGGAACTGTTTCAGATCAATTGCTTAAAGCTGATGCAAATGCAACTAATGAATGTAAGACTATTGGCAAAAGATGTGAGTCAGTGGTTTGGATAAAGAAAGCCAGATTCAATTGCAATACCATTTGAAAGGGTTTTGATTAATGTTTTTTTAATAACTATATTCGATTAAGAGGAGGCAGGCAATATCTATCCATAAACATATTTTTAGTTTTATATATGTTGTATCAAAATTTAATATATATATATATATATATATATATGTTGTATTAAAATTTAACATATATATATATATGTTGTATAAAATTTAATATATATATATATATATATATATATTTATATATATATATATATATATATATATATATATATATATATATATATATATTTATATTTATATATATATAATATATATAAAGACGCATGGCCCTCTGTAAGACAAAGAAAACTCAAATTGGTAAAATGAGGTGCCGACCGCATTATAAAGAAAGCTTAAAAAATATATGTATGGTAAGAAGTGTTTTGTGAAAATAAATTACCAGAAAGCAGGGCAGGAATGTTAGTATATGGGGACCTATGCATCAGGTTGAGACAGGCCGACATTATGCAGTAAATTAAAAAATGACATAACGATGAAAAAAATAAAAAATAAAAAAATAACATCCTTTGCTACAAGGTAAATTTTTATTATAACTTTTCTGAAAAAGTAATAAACTGTATAAAATTTGGCAATATCTACTAAAAAATATTCCATTTAAACTGACTTTCATTTAAAAATACAGACAGTGTTTTACTTAATTGTCCCCTTCGAGCACAAGATTGCAGCTTGGAATTAGAAATCTAAGAACCAAGTTGGAATTTCACTTGGTTTTGTTACATTCACTTACACGCAAAAATACCCTTAGGAAAGGGTATAAATCTATCTCTTCCCCAGTAATGGGTTAAATAATAGGACTTGTATCTAGAAAAATCATTGTTATTCTTGGAAAATTGTTTATGCAATATTCACTCTCAAAAAAAGAAAAAAAAAATCTTATAATCCAAAATGTTTCAGATTTAAATAAACCACAAAAGGTTGATAAGCTGTAAAACAACAACTCAGTCAACCCATCAGAGCAGGTATTTCAAAAAACAGTTTCTGGTAAGCACTGGCATCTCTTTAACACTTATTTTTTCCAATATTTTTAAAAAATTCAAAAACTAGAATATGTTACAAAGAGGGCCATGCGTCTTTGAGATTTCAAATGACAATTTTATTCAATTTTTTTTTACATGTGGAAGGGTCGACTGATGTTACTTCATTTTTATCTTATCTTTGAAAGTTTTTTGGTGCTTATGACAAAATAAACATTGATAACCTATAATAATTTTAAAATTGTTTATGCATACTTACTTTTTATAAGGACATCTGTTTGATCATTTATGTCTGCCATTGCAGGCCATTAGGTTGGAGAAAAAACAGTGGGGATTCATTGCAGCTAAGAAGGGCGATAAAATTTGCCTGACACCTTCAATTACAAGATAACACTTCATACGATACCCTCTGCATATGTATGTGTATATAGTGACTATCGACTCACAAAGCGAGTATGACCATCACTGACATATCCAGTCCATCAGTTAAACTCCCCCTCCACAACATTGTATTCATTTGTGTGAACAACAGTGGCTCATAAAGTCAGCCATCGATCTGCATTTCTTATTACATATGTGGCATATCAAATCATATTATCTCCAGGTGGTGGAAGCTGACTTTAATCATCATCATCGTCATTCCAATGTGCCTTTCCATGTCCGACCTGGACTTGAACACTCTAGTGTAAGTCGGGCATTCAAAGCATTACGAAATCGTTATATACAATAGGCTGTTGGTGTGATTTCTGGTGACTGAGCAGACCAGTCCGAGACAGACATATCCGATTACATTGGGTACATGGCCAGGTTGGCACTTCATGGCAATTCAAGGATCCATTCCGAACCCCTCTCTTCAGTGCGTATATCCTATTTATAGGAAAAATGTTTAATTTCCTCAGAATTTAATGTCTACGTTTTGTGCACAATTCTCAGGTTGGCGACACAGTATCTTATAATAGTGGCTTTATCTATCCAGACAGGCAAACCCAATACATTAAATTTTGGGTAGCCAATATATTGACTGAACACACCATGGCAGGGATGCAATATTTGCTAGTTGACAATCGCAGAACTAGCGTTTGTGTGTGTGTGTGTGAGTGAGTGTAATCAAGCTAAAATAACAAATTCTCTTGCCCATGAAAGAAATAAATCCAAATGGTACTTACTTTTTTTCGTCTCTTAGTGGGTATTTTTATTTATTGAAATAAATAAAATATATATATACCGGGTGTAACAGTAAAATTGATCAATTGTTACATCAGGCTTTGAATAATTGTATCTTAGAAATGATTAAAGATATCTTACTGGAATTCTCCAAGATTTTCGTAACACTATTGGACACTTTGAACAATAAGAATGTATTTAGCTCTAAGTTGAAATGAGGATCCCTTTTGCTGTTGTGATCCCCTGATCCAGTTTTCCTCTCTACTGTTCCCTCTTTTCTTAAACTTATTCACTGTTCTCTTGATGATTCTTGAATGGACTTTGAAGAGGGAAATGTTATTCACAAATTAAATCTCGACCTCTTCAAGTCTAGAGTTAGCTGTTATCTTTCTTGCATAGCCTCAAGAACATCACTTCTTGCACCTTTTTTACACTAATACAACACCACATAGTAACCCTCTACCTTGAGTGGCTCTTGGGCTTTGTATTGAGTGAACATTAGTTAAAAAAAAAAACCAAAAAAAACCCAACCAACCTTTGACTGAAGCTATTACTATTCGTCTTGAGCATTCTCATCACTGGATCATGGTAGTTAATGTCCAGAGAGCAGAAAACAGGTTGTACAAGTGTTGATTACTAATCCGAGTTACAAGTACTTTCTTCCATGAAAGAGTTAAGCAACGGATAATTGAAGAAAGAGGTCATGTTTGTCAATCGGGTTTTAAGAGTCATAAATAATTTCTCTTTATGGGAACCAATTCTAATAAGAAATGTATCATCCGAACTACATTGCAAATTAAAATAAATTTGGTTTATGCTAACATAAGTTTTTTGCATGGTAGTGGCAGCGTACTTTGTGGCATAAAGGAAAAAATATCCTCAAAGCAAGGCAGGAAACAGCAAGAATAACACAAGAAAGACATTTTGGATCTTGGTTGGTGTGTTTTGCCTTCATGTGCCATATTCACCTGATGTTGAACGAACTGATCACCATTTCTGTTGTTGTTTTTTTTTTTTTGATTGCAGCAAAATACGTTGATGGGAAATACTTTCTCTAATGAAAACCAGATTCAAAAATCTGTCAAAAACTTTTTTAAATCATAATTTGTGGAATTTTACTCCAAAAAGGTATTGAAGAGCTGCTTGATAAATTGAATAAAATGTAATTGGACTTTATTTTTTGAAGAATGAAGCTGATAATCATAAAATGGAAATTATTTATGACTCAACCAATTATTTCTCATTGAACCAATAACAACTCTATCCAATTTCATCACAAATAGAATTGATGCTTGTTGTCTAGAATGTCACTAAATTTTCTTATAATTTCAAGACAAATACAGAGAGAAAGAAAGAAAAAAAAGGTACAAACCAGATTTGAGTTGTTTTTTCAAGTATTTATTATGTAAGGAACAGAAGATATCAGTTTGAGTCAATGCATTAAAAAAAAAGAAAAAAAAAAAAGAAAATGTCTGAATGAGTGATAAGCAAAAGTTTATTGCAAATCACCAATAAATAAAATAAATAAAAATCATGGTTTTCAAGAAGACACATGTCAGCAGAAGATCTGCAAATAAGAACTTTTGTCTTTTTTGTTTTTTTGAAGGAAAAAAAAAAAAAAAAAAAAAAAAAAATACCCAGATGACCCACCCATCAATAAATTTATAAAACCCTTATAATATTTGGGCTTCAATTATCGCTTTCAACTTTTTCACCAATGCCACTTATTCTAGTATTTGACTGATTGTTACTTCACCCAGAACAGAATTTCTTAAAGCTGCCTACAATATGAAAATTTCGATGAACAATTAAAAGCAATCATTATTTACACGGATCTTGTCAATCTTTTTTTTTTTTTTTTTTTTTTAAAATCATTTTTCTTGAACTACAAAGTTTTTATCAAACCGTCATAAGACGAACTGGAAATTCTCAACTTATGTAATAAAAATAATAATCCTGTAAAAATAATAATAAAAATACTTTAATAAACATAAAAAGGGGGGAGGGGGGCGGATTTTCTTTTTAGTTTTTTTTCAAATTTGTTTTTCAGAGAAAAACTCTTGTTAAAAAAAAAAAAAAAAAAAGCTTTACCTTGTAAATTGAAAGCATAATAAGTTAAGCCTCTTCAAATAAAGGTTTTCCTCCCAACCAATCTGAGGTCTTCACAAACAAGCTGATTGGATTCTCCCCAAGAACCACAGTGAGAATATTTAAACATACCAAAGGAAGAAAAAGAGGGGGAGAGAAGGTACTGTGAGTCTTGGCTTTGTAACTTTAAGTAAAATTTTCCTAGACCTGAAGTGTCTGGGCAGTTAACCTACAAACAATTTTTTTAAAAATATTACTTCACCCCCAACATAAAAAAAAAAAGAAAAATTCATTGACTCTTTTAGTAACCAACAGTTATTCTATCAGAGAAAAGAGAGAATATATAGCAGACACACACCAAATGTGTGACATATGGACATTTCATAGAACACCAATTTTATGACAAGAACTGACAATAAATTTTAAGATCCTCCTCCCATGGTAAGAATTAAAAAAAAAAAAAAAAAAATCTCTATAAAGATATGCACATAACTTCATTGTTTCTTCCTGCCCTTTTAAAAAAAGGTTGGAGTTTGTTAAACCAGTTATTAAAGTAACTGCTTCCTACCAACCATTGGCATATCACAATCTGCCCTCTATTTTATGTAGGTAAAAAAGTCTTACGTAAGGGGAGGGTGCCATTAAGGACAAAATAAATTGGGCGGTGAGAAAAGGGATAAAATAAAATTAAAAAAAAAAAAAAAAAATTATAGCCGATATCAAATTTCATGATATCGAAATTTCATGATATCAAAACTGGACAGTAAACTAGAAACTTTGCAAAACACTTGGATTTTGTTCTTGCAACTTTGAAGATTTTTAAATAAAATAAAAAATATATATGCTCTTAGAGCATATTATTTTAGTTTTGCCTACAAACAATAGAGGGTGGACCAATAACTCCCTAATTTTGGACCCTGTCTATTTTCTTGAAGCTACATACGGTAGCTGCCACACTCCCCAATCTGTGCACTGGGGCTGATTAATAGTCTTTATTTACATTTCCACTGTGCCCAACAATAGTTTGAGGGTAAAGGAAATCTTTTACAAGAATGAACACAGGCAAAAGTGCATTAGGTAGCAGTGGAGAAGAAGAGACGTCCGTCACACCAACCCATCCATCTTGTCAGGATCACAGATTCAGAGACACCCCCACCCCCACCCATTTTCAGGCCAATGCTTCTACCCAAAACTTTGGCGCTTTCCTTTCGTGTACAATCCATCTGCATAAAAAGATGTTAACGTTTTATCGCTTGCTCTTTAATTAAAATGGGCAATTTAAATTATGTTAACGAACCAAGTGTTTAAATGTCATTAACCCTTGCCGTTACAGATGAATTAGCACCATTGCCTTTCTGTTGTTGTTTAAAAAAAAAAAAAAAAAAGAAAAAAAATCACAGCTCATGGCACAGCTGCTGCTACAAGGGGCAAATTTCTTTGTATTTTCTAACCATTGTCTTTAAGCAGTGCCATAAAGTAAAAGATGTGAGCAGAGCTCATAAATCTTGTAGCATGTCCTTCAGAAGCACTTCAATGTCTGTTTTGCCATGAATAAAACCACAGAATAAATTGTTAATCATTTTACAGTTGATACCGTATAGTGACGGTAAGCACATGAGCACCCGAGAAAAACGGATGTGGTCCCTGGGGTGCTTTGTGTGAATATGCTGCTGTAAATGCTGTTGTATACGACTGTTCATATTGTCCACAACGGATGACATCTCTAGTCCAACATAACCTGAAGAAAAAGAGAAAATACCAATGAAAGAAAAATGGTACAGAAACAATTGGAACAAGTAACTTAAATACACTTCAAAAAGTTTGAATATTCCAGTAAGATTAAGCATAAAAATCACTGACGATTTAATTATAGACACACACACACACGTGTCACCATCTTCAGACATTTCAGAAAGGCATGAATCCACAACTTTTCCAGCTATTCACTTAATACACGGCTCAAGGGCCATTCAAGGTAGAGGGTTACTGAATGAGGTGAATGGTACATCAGATATAATTCCTTATTATTTGAAGAGATGATAAACACTAAATAGCAATCATTGCCCTGAAAGATGGCATAACAATCATCAAATAGGTCATGTGACTAGAAAATTCTTCTAGTATTTGTCTATTTTTCCGAGATGAGGTATTATGTACATTATTTGGACTATTGTCCTCATCTTTGTCACCATATTTATTACAACGTTTCGGCCGTTGTATGCTCCGGCCTTCTTCAGGTGGTTGGAATGTCGAACCGAACACTATTTTGCTCACTGACATCATAATAGGGATGAGGTTCACTCCAAAAACATCTATGCTATGCAAGCAGTAAGAATAATGATATTGTAAAATGTATTTTCTTAAATTTTTTGTTACACTACAATGTTTGTAACATAACCAATTTCATTTGAAAGTAAATTCTGTCTTTTGAAGACTTTTTTCTGTAGGAATGGCACACTATTTTGTAACAGTTATATTTAGATTTAAATCCTTTTGCCAAAATTACTGCTTACTAAAGTGCCCCCACCACAACATTTTTGTGACTCCAAATCGGAGCAAAAAAATGATAAATAAACTTTGGGATTTGCTTCATTACAATTTCTTCAACCCTGAAGCTTTAATATTCTTGTATTGAGACACAGACACACCCACACAGCATGACAGAGATTTTGATAAAGTAAACTAAAAATAAAGATATTTTTCTATTTTCTACAATTAATGCAATTTTCAAAAAGGTACAATACAATTTTCATAATTTTATAATAGAAATTTCTCAAAATTAAATTATAATTTATAAAATAATGAATTTATAAACCAAAAACTTTTTTTTAACCAAATATTTAACAGAAAACAGAAAATGTTGAATATAGAAAAAATAACTTTCTTGAAAATAATAAAATCTTGATGAATTTTTTCAATTAAAATACATTTTGTGGAAAGTTAAAGGCAAAAATAATTTCTTACATCAATGACTAAAATAGGGAAAAGATATAAATTGTTGAAGCAAACAAAGAAACTTAACTTACCAGCATTAAAGAGGACTAACATTCGAAGATATTCAAATTCTGAAGTGTCTAAATTCATGCCCTGACATTTGCGGATAAAACTCTGAACACTTTCAACTGATTTCATGGTGGGTTCATCAGAGGCCGGAGCCTCGTCCGTTTTATGTTCTGGAGAAGAAGGAAGCGGAGTAACAGCAAACTGAAAGTTATTCTCAGCCATATGCATAAGCAAAAGCCGTGTCCATGAGTTCAAGATCAGTGTCAGGCGATCGTTATTGGGCAGTTTAACAAACTGGGGAATCTCTTTAGCGAATTTTACCATTTTGTAAAGCCATTCAGTGACCCTAGCACTGATAGGAAGCAAGTTCTTTTTGGCCAGCGTTACACGAGTTGTACTGCACAGAGAGTAATCCTTAGAGCCAACGTATTCTTCTTTTGGCTTTGGTGGACAACTCAAAACGCTATCATCTTCACCCGAAGAAGGGGAAGACGAGAAAGAATGAGAGTTCTCAGAAGAGAAAGACAATAGTCCACTTTCTTGAGATTTGTTGTTGCGGCCACAACTTAATAAGTCCCGTAAAAGTGAATGGCCAGCAGTTTTAGAAAATTGGGAGGAATTGTTATGGTTTGTCTGCAATGGACGGTTGGATTCAAATGGGTCAACATATGAGGGTGAATTGCTCTGCGACTGATGTCCAGGCTGAGGCTTGTTTTGCAGTGATTGAACCTCATACAATGATTGTGTAGAGTCCATCATTGTTGAGGCAGGTGTTTGATGAAGGTGTAATGTACTTGTCGATGGTGAAGCTGAGTGTCTGCTGCTGCCAGGACTGGACTGCGGACAAAACTGCATAGGTGAATGACATGACCGTTTTGTTTCCATCTGTTGTAATGGGATCTCTTGTGGGGTAACAGATGGGTAACCTGAATGTCTTGCTGGTTCAACTACCTGCCCCTGTTCAGTGGAAACCTGATAATGCAGAGGAGATTCCTGATGGGGCTGGGGTTGTTGCAGCATTGGTGATTCACACTGAAGTTGCTGAATAGGAGAATGTCTGCTGGGAAGGAGAGCCTGCTGACAATGAAAATGAGAGTGCTGTTCAGGGGAATGCGACTGCATCACCTGCTGAACAGGTGAATCACACTGTTGTGTTTGCTCAAACTTCTCAGATGACATGAATGTCTGTCCTCCTCCATGAGATGACATCAACGAACAGTCAGTTATGCTGCTGTCATGATGAAGTTGATACGAGTATGATGTCGTCGTATCAAGGAATGATCGATCATCAGTGTAGGTAACACTGTCGCCATTCCCACATTTTGTACTTCCAGGAGTTTTACAAGAAAGGTCCATGGGTTCCGATTGATAATCGGACAATGCAGTAGCAGCAGGTCGGATAATTTCCTTTTGTAAAAGAAGAGGGGCTGGACTTTGAGACGGGTGAGGACTGGCAGAATATGATCCATCGGAAGTGGTACAGGGGGATGATGACACTGACGAAGAAGAACAAGATGAAGTTGCTGATGGAGATGATGACGACGATGACGAGTGAGGTGAGGTAGTTGTCAGGTGAGAGTAGCTGGCTGGAATTTCCCCTAAGAGTACGCTTTCTAAAGTGTTATAACGTTTCTCATTGAAAGAGTTCGTATCATGGTTAACAGGATATGGCTCCCAGGATATATATGACGGATGTGAGGAGTTGGTTGAATGAAAAGAGTTATAGATGGGACCGGCCCATTTATGTTGCTGGTAATGAGAATTTAATATAGAGAACTGCATTTCACCCATAGTGAAAATTTTTTTAATTCTTTCAAGAATCTGAAAAAAAAAAAAAAAATAAATAAATAAATAAATAAATAAAAATTTAATAACAAGTGTACAATACATAAATTTATAACACAAGAAAAGAACAATGAATCATAATGTAAATATCATTTACAAGGAAAGATCTTTGTAAATGAAGACAAATTTGATGAAGAACCCAGTCAACAGAAGATACGTCGTTACTTTGTGGAGGAAAAAGTGGGGTGGGGGGATACGCCGTAATTTACAACTGCGTCCAGCAAAAAAAAAAAAAGAAAAAGAAAAAAAGTGACATTTTTAAACGATTTTTAATTATTAATTTTAAGTTCATATAATTTAGGTTGAAAAATAAATAAATTAAAAGTAACAACGATTCAAAATGACATTTTTTAAATTAAGAAGAAAAAAGAAACAACTCGATTTAAAAGTTATTTTAAGGAGTGTTAAAAAGCCGATATGACAACAGAAGGTAAAAGAAAAGCAAAGCAATATTTTTTCTAATTTTACAGGGAAAAAAAAAAAAAAAAAAAAAAAAAAAATCAATTATGCTTTTTAACCCAGATGAATAAATTAAAATCGTATCGATTGAAAAATAAAAATAATATACCCAGTTTTTTTTATCAGTGATTGGAATTAAGTTTAGCAAACAGATGATTTCGTAACTACCAAATTTGTTCAAAGACAAAAAGGAAAAAAAATGCCAAGAACAAAAGACTTAAAAAATCCAAATAAAGAGCATAATCTGAACAACAAACCAAATTTGATTAAAACAAAATTAAATAAAATTAAGACTTAATTATTTAAATTAAATAAAATTACATTTTTTGTGGCTAAGTGAAAATTATTATAAAATTAAAAATATTCTACATCATAAGTTTTTTTAAAAATGTGGGATCGAAGAGTGTCAAGCATTTTGAATAGGTGATCCCTAAAAATCGAATTTCAGATAAGAAAAAAAAAACCCACGAATTCCAAAATTGTACTTTGTTTAAATGTCACACACCTAAAAATCTTCAATTAAAATAAATAGTAGAGCTTAAAAAAAAGCCTTGATGAATTTGGTCCACATCTCTCTTTCCCGTTCCATGTTCTCTCGATAAAAAGAAAAAAAAATATACATGGACCTTGTTCTTAACTTTACAATTTTATATAAACTTACATCTGCACCCTTCTTACAAGAAGTTATGGCTTAAAAAAACAAAAAAACAATTAAACTTAGATACAGACCAACAACAACAGTTCCTGTGTAATTCAACAAAGTCATTATGAGGAGAAAGAGAGAGAGTCGAATTCTAAAAACAGGCTTTTAGGACAAAGGGATTGATTGATTTTTTTTCGGACACAAAGGGATTTCTTTCTTTTTCAGTTTTAACAATACAAATTCAATATAATTTTTTTTTAAAGATAGTTAAAAACATGAAAAGAGAAACATAGAATCATTTCCAAACAAAAATTTATAAATAATTAAAAAAATGACATTACCTAATTTTATAGAATATACAAATCGGGAAGAATTTTATAAATTTGCCAACAAACTTTGTAATTTCCTGTAATCGCGTCGTATGTGTTGTTCTTTTTTTTTAAAAATAAAAATAGGAAAAAAAAAAAAAAAAAAACAAACAAAAAAAAAACTCTTCGATTAAGTATGGTTTCCCATGGAAATTGATAATACACAGGTAGAATCCTCAGGAAGTTTTGGAAAAACGATTCTGATTTCTACTGAGTAGAACATTTGTACAAAAACAACAACAAAAAAAATCTAATCGGAGGTCACAAGTTCATTTGTTAATTGCTTGCGCAAAGTGTAAGGAAAATTAAATTAGTTCGATAATTTTCTTTTAAATGTAAAAACTTAATTAAAAATAAAGTTAAAGTTCATGAGTGTAGTAATTGATGGGTAAGAATAATTTAAAACTTTTTCTTTGTGAAATTCTCTCGTTATTTAAAAAGCTTCAATCGAGAGAGAAAGGGGTGTGAGTGTACAATCCAAGTAAAGAAAGCGAGAATATGGTTCCACAAAAACGTATGTAGTCAGTTGATGTGCTTTACTTAGGAGAGAGTGATTATGATGCCTGTCTGAAGAGGTGGTAGAAATAAGACATGTGCGTGAGTAAAATTCAGACGGAGAAGAGGGGGTGGGGAGGTGATGGAAATATTAACTCGAGAGAAAGGAAGGTAAAGCTTGTCATTGAAGAAGAGTGGGGTTGGGCAAAGCAGGTGCCCTCCCCATATCGTCCATCTGTCCCGCTTGTTTTGCTGCTGTTGGGAGGCCGGAGAGGCTCACGTGCCGCCAATTCGCGTGCAGTCGGTTTATGTATGTGAAACAGTTGTTGGTTGTTGTTGTCTGACGTCAGACTTCACCTTCAGTGAAACACAGTAGTGGCCGGGTGTGATTCTTTTCAAAGACGATGGGGGGGTGACGGATCGAGAGAGTGAGGGTGAGAGAGAGAGAAAGAGGGAGAGAGAGAGAGAGGGGGGTACACCCCACCACTAACGAGAAGTAAAAGAAAGTGCAAGTAACTATATTACGCGTTCTAGTCAGAGGTAGACAGTAGGAGTGAAAAAAAAAGAGGATATTTTTAAATTCACAAGTTAAATTTGATGATGGAAAAACAGACAGTTAACGAATACAGAATCCGGTGAGGTGATAAAAAAAAATGTGAGGGATTCTTTATCGCTCGATGTTTTGTGTACGCGTGCAAGAAACAGGAAATACAGTAGAAATATAACAAAGAAGGAAACAGAAAAGGGGCGTTTTTTTTTTAAATGTGAAAGAAAATTAAGTTCATATGAGCAATGTCAACGAATTATTTAATAAGATGAGCAATTAAAGAAATATTGAAGACAAATAAGAGATCGAACCAGGAAATCGCGAATTAACTACACTACAGTTTTTAGTTTGCGTATATAATTCGTAAAAATTAATTAATTAATTCAATAAGCTAAAGACGGCGAACAACTTAAAATAAATTATTTTTAAATGCTAATTAGGATAAAAAAAAATCACATAAAAAGGATGTCGTAAAAACAAATTTTAAAAATTACATTTAAAACTATTTTCATGTAGTAAATTATTTTTCTTTGTAAAATAATGACTTCAGTAACATTTAAGAGTCACTATAAAAACAACTAATAATTTGCATAGAAAAAAAACCCCCAAAACCAGGAAAGTTTAAAATATTTTCCAGAATTGAGGAGGTAGCTGTAGTTTAAAATGTTTTTTTTTAAATAATTAAATTAAACTCTAATATTGTCTGAAAGGACAACATAACTAGATGGTTTAAAATTAAATGTGTTTTCAAAAGTAGTTGCACACCTGAATCCTGTCGAATAGACTACTTTTAAGTTTCCTTTTTCTATCTCACCTTGAAACTACTTGCACTAAAAACTTGGAACACGTGACATCATCTTATTTTTTTTTTTCTTTTTAGTAATTTTTTATACAGCACGTGACCATCCTTTTTTTCTTCTCGCAATCCAACGCCCTAGTTTGTTATTTTGGGATTTCATTTATTCTCTTTCAATATGAAAATTCTTCTGTCCTTGACAAACAGTAAACAACATAGTTGTTACTCTAATTCCTAAATAAAAAAAAAGAATACATTAATTATTTATATTTAAATTACGTACCCAGCAGTAGGAGCTGAAAGTCAGTACAAATCGATATTATACATGTGACCTCATATGGGTGACACCAATTCTCGAGTCACCAGTTGCAGTCGAATTAAAGTTCAGCTACCTATCCGTATTTTATTTGTATAAGCGATTGCAACAATAAGTATTTTAGTGTGCAAGAATATAGGTTACACCCAAAATAACTGAATGGAAATATTCCGGGAATTAGCGGGGAGGGGCGCATAGCTCATTGTAGCAGATAAAATTCACTTTTGATCCTTTTTAAACTAATAAAGTTTAAAACTGAATTCTAGGGCAAATGGGGCCGAATGTAAAGACTACTGAAATGTTTTTTTTTTTACTTTTCCGGTAAAAAGGCAGACTAACGCTCTCACCCTCTTGATAGCGCGTGCAGCAAAAACACAATGGATGATTGTGTAAAATAGGCCTTTTACATTGATTATTTTAATTATGGCAATATAAACGAAGCTTAATCCTTTTCTGATAAAGTATTCACAATACACGTCCATTGATGAGGATGTATGTGCCTTTTCAAAAGAAAAAGGCACATACATAAAAGAAAGGGGAGCATGAATTCTCAATATTTTGATTATGGAGTTTTGGGATAAACAAATTTTTGTTTATGGATAATGAATTCAGGATTATCCAACTATTCACAAATTAGATTATTATTAATCAGTTCATTATTATTGAGTAAAAAAAAAAAAAAAGAAAGAAAAGTTATGAGGATCTCATCGTCTTTTTTTATTTAGTTCCATGAATTCATAAATTTTCATTTTGTACACGCGCGTAAGGATGGTGATTCCGCAATTCTTTTACATTTTATTCTTTTTTTTTTTTCCAAAAAAGAAAACAAAAAGTTCATGACGATTTGAGTTTTCTTTTTAGTAAAAAAAAAAAAAAAAAAAAAAAGGGGAAACATCTATGAATGAGAAAGGAGCAAGTCAAAAGGGAAGAAAAGAAATAAAAAGACAAAATAAATAAATAAAATAAAAAAGAAACCGAAAAAATGAATGGGGAGTAAAAAAAAGGAGAACCAAGAATCCGTAATTCGCGCGTCTGGCTTTTTCAACTAGGAAGGATAATGTTACAAGGGGCGGGGGCATGCAGGAGATTGTAAGATATTTGATAAGATTTATCGCTGATTCTAAGAAAGAGAAAGAAAGAGAGAGAGAAAGAGAGAGAAAGAGAAAGAAAGAGAGTGAGAAAGAAAGAGAGAGAAAGAAGAAAATGGAAAGAGAGGGAAGGGACAGAGAGAAAGAAGGAAGAAAAAGGCTCAGGGAACAGGACAAAGCAATCGGGTATGAATTTAGTTGTTAGAGAAACCATTTTTTTAAGTCTGTTCCATTATCTTTGTGCATTTGACCCTAATCTATTTTGCATTTTTAAAATTTAAAAATATTTTCCCAAATTAGGAAGGAATAACGAGTGTGTTGACAAAATAGTAAAATACACCAAGCAAAATCTTCACAATTTCTAACAAGTGAACTAAAAGTTGATATTTAAAAAAAAAAAGTAATAAGTAAACCTTATAATAATTTTCATTTGAAAATGGTATCATAATTTCCCTAGAGGCCGAAACTCCCCACCAAAAGCAACACATTTATTGAGAAAGTCACTGAAAGGGGCGACGCTATTTGCTTTTCAATAAGATTTCGTTTCGTCAATTTCATTGAGAAAAAAAAAAATTACTCTAAAATCTGTTTGATGAAGAAATAATTCTACGTGGTTGATCAATTTTAATTAGATTTATTTTCTCTAAGAATGATTGGAACACTTTCATGATCGCCGAAATTGCCCTTTTTATTCATTGAACATAAAAGGCAGGGTTTGTTTTGAACCTACAGTCGGGTGCACAATTTACTTAGCCAGCAAAATGTTTCAGAGACATTCACATAAAACATCCATACATATCAAACAGATGCGTAGAGAGAGAGAGAGAGAGAGAGAGAGAGAAAGGGGTTCTCTTACACACACACACAAGCACATACACACACAAGCACATACACACACAAGCACATACACACACAGACGCACAATGGTTTATGCGCTTCTTCATGTTTCCTACGTCATCTAGACAGTTAACGCCCACACTGAGCAAAGAATAAATAATCTGTGTTAATATAAGCAATAAAAAAAGGCAGAGGACAAGAAGGAGAAAAGGGGGAGAGAGAGAGAGAGAGTTGGGAGAGTAAAGGTGAATGAGTGGGGAACTGAGAAATGAGAGAAAGAAGAAAGTAGGTGAACAGAGAAAGAGTGGAAAAGTAGGTGATCTAATAATAATGAATAGAACATGGGAAAGAGCGAGAGAAAGAGAAAATAGAAGAAGGCAGACAGGCACAAATTTCTAGAAAGAAAGAAAGAAAAAAAATTATCGAGGGTGAAGTGAAGGACAGTGCCTAAAAAAATGATCCACAACCCAAATATCGACGTCCATTTTAAGGCAGACGAAGCAAACGAAAAAAAAAAAAAAAAATTGTAGAGGAGGTCATCAGGACACAAGAAAGTCGGGTAAGAAGAAGGGGGATGTTATAGGGACATGGACACATCCCCAACCCATAGACATTCTTGTAAGAGAGAAAGGGGAAAAAAAGAAGAGAGAGAAAGAGGTTTTCGCTTCATCATTGATTTTTTTTCTCCCACATATAAATGCACTTAGTTTTTTTTTTACTGCTTCTTTAGCTCTTTCTTTTAGTCGGCCTGCACGTCCCTGACCCTAGTTGTCATATCTCGACGATCGATTAAAAAAAAAAAAAAAATGGATTTTTATGAAAGGATGACCATCCATTTATAAGCAACGCGATTAAGAAATTAAAACAAAGAGAACTTTCATTTCAGGTTTCACTTATAAAGCGGAAGACAAAGAGAGAAATCAGAAACACTTTTTAAGCCCACTGTATTTGCTTTATGATGACGATTGTTAATCTCTCGATAACTGCCTGTCCCCAATACACACTTAAAGTAAAAGAAAAATAGATACCCCCCCCAAAAAAAAAACAAACACATGTTACCTTTTTAGTACACACACACTCTGACACATACAGAGAGAGGGGGACAAACACATTTGCACGAACAGATAGTTGATCGCACTAAAAAGCACACAAACACACAGGCAGACAATATGCCACACACGGTCGACCTCGTAATGCACCGGACGACGGAGGTCAATAATCATAGCAATGCACTTCATAACAACAACTGCAACTTACTGCTGCTGATTTTACTGCTATAGTTGCAAATATTATCGTCCCTTATATTGCTACTATTAACAGTTATACACTCCCCCCCCAAACCAACCAACGAAGCGTTCTTTCTTCACTTCAATTTTAGTCTGCCATTTTATTTTAATGAAATAATAAATTAAAAATATTTAAGCTGTTATTTAGTCACTTGATGGGTTGAGAATAAAAGACACTTTCCGATTGAACTTAATCTATAAATAGATATACAAGCATTTTTTAGAAGTGCTGTTGTTCTTTCAAGGTATTTGCGAGAGTCATCCAAGAACACATTTTTGTTAAAATATGCTTCTAACAAAATATCTGGAATATGTGTGAATGTGGATCTGGATATCGAAAGATAGTTGTACCTACATGTCATTAATGATATAGTTACAGTCTGAGTCTGTCGTTATTGTATCATTAGTCAGAGAGAGAGAGAGAGAAAGAAAAAATCAGATCCAATCTTGAAGACAATGCCGTGCAGTTTTATTTGTCGCAACTGTCTCTAAATGACCCTTTTTAAATGCACGAACATAATAATCGATTTGTAGTCACAAGTAAATGTGTCTCAAGAGGCTGAATTAACATTTTCAAAATTAATCGATAACTGTTTTGGGGGCTCATGGACAACAAAGTGCCTACCATTGAGTGAATGAGGAAGTAGGTCAACTTCTCCTACGAACAAATGTACGCACGCACTTACACAAAAACGGGGAGAATTAAGCGCACTTAATTAGGAAGAAAGAAAGAAATTTTATCCGTGTTTACATTGTTATTTTTTTAATTACATTAATTTAAATTAAACATTTATTCGATTAAATTTTAGGAGATTAAAGTAAAGACTTTCTTTTAAATAGTCTTTTTTCTAAGAATAGCGAATAAAAAACTTCAAATGTTAGGATAGATTAATAAAAAAAATTATGCTTCACTTCAAAGTTGTTGGTTAAAAATTAATCAATCAAATATATTTCGTGAAACTGGAACGCAGTATCAGGTTAGAGGGTGTCTACGTGCAGTTGGCCAAAGTAGAGTCAAGACTCAAATAATGTGTGTGTGTGTGTGTGTTCGCATATATATTGTGCAAGAAAGTGCACATTTTTAGGTGATGTGTGTCGGTGATTGCAACGCGAAACCTCACAGCGATTTATGAAGAAACAATGTATTTTCTTTTGTTCACAATAAATATCTGAAATAATTAAATTATCGAAAATTCACGATTTTACATCGCGCTTTGCAAAGGCTTTTAAAAGATGTGATTCCGATGAGAACGGTAAACAAGTTACACAATAGAAATTTAATTTTAAATAAAATACCAAAATCCGACCAAATCTCTACAAGACTTAGTTTTAAGTTTAAGATTTTCTAAGACAAAGAAAAAAAAAGTTGATCGAGAAATAAGTTTCATTCGTCCGTAAAAATCAATGGGAATTATTTTGCTGATGAAACGAGAAAAAGAAGAAAAAAAGAAAAAGGAGCGAATGCTGATTTATTATTGAAATTGTTTTGGCCTTGAAGGAAATATACAATTAAAAACACGTCAAAGTGATGCGTACGCACCCCCACCTCCATCTGTGAAACAAGCACATGCATATTGTCTATTTTTAAGATCAACGTAAGTGCATTTGCCAACGAACGACAGAAAAATTCAATCAAATTATTTAATTTAGCCAATAACTTTACAGTTTACACGTATTTAACTCATTCTGTCATACGAATTCTATTCCGTTTTAACAGTTTTCAAGAGATTTTTTCCTAGCGTTTTTATTGATTAAATCTTTTCTTTCGTTTTCGCCCAGAGTTATCAAGTACTTTGGATTTTTTTCCTTAGTTCAGAGGAAAGTTTTCTAGTTTGATGTACGGAAACGAAAGATTTTTAAAAAAATGTCATTATGAAAGGTGAAAAAGCTGCTAACATATACATTTTTTTGTAGTTCATTTTTCAAATTCTGACATTCTTACAACAATAAAGACGTCTAAAAAAGAAGAACAATTTGATGACTTAAACGACAAAACAAAATGACAACAGGAAAAGATTTCAGCTTGACACGAAAAAAAAAAGTTAATCTAAATTAAAATTTCATTTTTTTAAAATAGACGGAACTTTTTCATTTACAAAACTGTTTTGAAGATTACGATGAGTTAGTGTTTTTTTTTTCTCAATGAAAAATGTAAAAGACAAAAGAAAGTAGAATGCAGATTAAGCGAGAAAAGATTTAAATACTTACTTAATCTCTTTAAGAATAGCTCGATTTGTTCTTTAATCTCTGTTTTGATAGAGTGGAGGTCGAAGTCCAAGGATTTTTCGTTTTCCACACTACCTGACATCAGTTTAAGATCCTTCGATAACTCAAGTAAAGGACGAATGGCTCTTTTAGTCTTTACGATAGAACATCAGGAGTGAGAGAGAGAGAGAGAATTTCCTCCTCTCTCAATCAATCTCAGTTTATTCTTTTTATCTTGTTTTAAGCTGCAGTTCTCCTCCACAATCAAAAATTCTTTTCTTCTTTTTGCTGATCCAGCCGCTCTTTGCTGAAATAAAAAAAATGAATGAAGATTGAAGACAGTTGTAAAAAGACAGAATCATAAAGATTGTACAACAGAAAATTAATTTTTAAGTTAAAAATCTGAATTTTTATTTAAATTTCACATTTCTTTATCTGGATTATTTTTACTTTTTTTTTTTCAAACTTTAAAAAACGTACAATTGTAAAAGAAAAAGGAGACAAACAAACCTATTTGTTAAAGTTTGCAAAAGAGATTTTACACATACAAGAATAATAATTAAGAAGATAAATTATTGAGTCGATTTCTTGTCAAAGAAAAATAGTTAAAGTCTTCTTGTGTAACTTACATCAAGTGACAACAGGATTTAAAAGGATTAAAAGAAAAGTAAACATTTGATGTTATCGGGGTTTTGTAGTTGGAGTTCAAAATACACATGTTGAAAACAAAAAAAATGGTATCGAATCCAACACACCGCACTGTGATACACAATATGATCAGTACAGTGAATCGTGTGAGATAATTACATCATAAAGTAAACACACACGTGTGACTGAAATGGATTTGTATTTGTAGATCAAAAGAAGATTAACAGATTTTTTTTGTCTAGTTTTCTTTTACTTCGTCACGTGACGACGTTTTTTTTTTTTTAGGGATTCACAAATTTTGTTAGAGAGATATTTTTCGGTTCAAGGTAGTAAGTGGGAGGTATTGATTATTGGCGGGTGGGTGTGTAATTGTAAAAAGAATCCCTATCCCGTGTAGGGAGTCAGGGGTAGGGTGGGAGTTGGCGGCTGTGAGCGTCAGTTAAGTAATAAGTATGTTAATAATAATAATAATAACAATAATAAGAATTAAAGGTACAAGGCCAAGGAGATTCTTACTTGCTAGTCGCGTGACTGGAAGCTAAGTTGTATGTCAAGCGAACAGCGGCCTAAGTCATCAATAGTGTGAAATTAAGGTGGCGTTGAGTTAGGAGTCGGTTTGTCGATTGATAACCCGTCAAAATCTTGACGACTTGTAAAAAGAGGAAGTGGGGGGGAAGAAGAAAAAGTGAAAGGAAGTCGAATAAAGAATCAGGCTGCACAGACTTGCACGGAGCGAAACATAATTTTTAAGACTGTCGTTTACAGTGCGGTCTTGTAGTAGTAGTAATAGTAGTAGTGGTGGTAGTGGTAATGTGTAGTAATAGTAGTTTACAGTAGTAGGTCAATGGACATGTCTGTCTAACACACAGACACGACGTGAGTCTTCGGTACTGGAGGAGTCTCAGTCAGTGAGGGAGGAGCGGAGGCGGGAGAAGCGATAGCAAGGTGGCTGACGGAGAGGGAGGGGGATACAGGGGGAGGTGGAAGGGGGGGTAGTTAACGTAGTCAAGTGGGAGGAGAAAATATGAAAGCGACTCACCACACCTCCAGCTTTTACGTTGCCTCTCCCATGAAGCAGGTCGTCTAAGGGCACATGCACACGCACGCGCACGCGCGACGCACAAAACGCAACAAAATGAGCGGGGGTGTCGGCGGCGGCGGCGGCTGAGTAGGGAAATATTGTCTGCAATCAACGGTGATCCCTGCGTTTTTTCTCCTTCCTTTTGTGTCTCATTTGTTTAAAACCAAACGAGAAAACGCGTTTTTCTGTCTAGTATGAAACAGAAAGAAACAAAAAGGAATTTTTTTTTTTTCAAATCTTTTAAAACGGGTACAAGATAATAATAATAATAATGATAATAATAATAATAATAATAATAATAATAATAAAAATTCTGTTCTGGTTCGAATAAGGTTGTTGACTTCGAACAAAAATATGCCTCTAAAGAATGAAACTTGACCAAGCATTTTAGTGGTTGGAATAGTTACATTTTCCTTATAGGTGACCGAGACCAGGTAAAGAAAGAAAAATGAA